GTAGATGGTGCATTACATTATGCACATGAATCGGCAATTGTTGTAATTGGATAAAAATACACAAAGTGATCCTCTTGACAAATTATTCTATTATCAGAAAAATAATGCAGCACAAATGTGGCAACTACAACTGCTTAATTTTTTCCCAATATTGCTTTCATTAAATGGGCCAACAAGAGCTATCTGCAGGAACATTTTCAAGACCTTCAGCAATGTCTTCAAGATAATCTTCCATCCATTCTCGGATCAAAGACACCGCAACCTCTAAAAACTTTGTTGCCAAAGGAAAGTAATAGAAGACAACGAATTTGCTTATAAGTAATGTTCGTCAAATTGTGTACACCTTCAGGAATTTTATGTATCTCGTGTCAAATACCAAGTCCAGCCAAGTAAATATGGTCCACTTTATGGTTTTCATTTGGGCTTCACACAAGTGTCCTTCACCCTAAACACGTCTATTAAGTTAAAAGAACCCAACCTTATAAACTGAATCCTAGACTTAGAGAAAATAGTTCTCAATAATTCATTCCCTAAGGTTATGGTGACAATAAGTATTGAAAAATTAAGAAGTGAACAAACTTAGATGCATGCAAGGAATGCGAGCATATACCACACTCGGATCATAGAAATTAATTTATCCGGACTGTTTGAGTTATGTTGAGGGGGTAAATGAGCCCCTCCTGGACCTATATTGGATCACCTGTCAACTACAAGATTGATGATTTGGACTACTCGCTAGTAGCTACTGCACATTGGGGTGACTTGACTTAAAAAATAAAAGTATTGGAAGATCCTTACCGGGGCTTATCTTCATGGACCTTGAGAGAAGGTACACCAGATTCCTTCTGTAAATATGATCGGGTCGGTTGTGTTGGGATTTTACCTAGGACTGGAACGTAGAAAATAAATTAAAAACAGAGGACTTTGATTTTATCTGAATAGTGCAGGTGTTTCATTGAGTTTTACTTGAATACAAATTGAGGAAACTGACCCTTGTATAAAGAGTACATCCCCGACTCTTCAACCAGATTAATCGACTCTGTTTAAGTTTCATAAAGACATCTTTTCATTTTCCTAACAGTCTATCAAAAATATAAAAAAATTCATGAGCCAAGAAAAAACTCTTGATTCATCCAGGATTATCAAAACTCTTCTACAAATATTGATTACAAATTATTGTTCTGAACAAGCTGCTGGGCCGTAGAAGATTTCAGGATACTTAAGTATTAATCTCACAGATATGGGGCTCAAGGGAGAGTTCCCTTGGGGAATTCAGAATTGCATTAGCTTGATGAGTTTAGACCTTTCAGGGAACCTCCTTTTTGGCTCAGTCCCAGTTCAAATTTGGGGAAGACTCAAAACTCTCTCAAGACTTGACCTCTCCAACAACAGATTTTCAGGTCAAATCCCATCAAGAATAGC